ATATATTTATACACACATATATATTTGTGCTGAAAGATTTCTTGATGATTATAATGTTGAGATCCTTTGCTGCATGTGTTTTCTCTCAGGACCGTAAGAACAGTCAGAGTGAAGCTGTGGCGCTGCAGGCGATCCGTAACGCAAAGGGCAACAACTTCTGTGTGGACTGTGACGCTCCAAGTTAGTGACGCTCATCGTTCAGTGTCCACTGTAACTGTATACGCTTACTGTTCTGCCCATCAAGTTCAAAGTTCATCACGTCTCTGTAAGGTTTTGTAGTGTTACTTTTTCTATGCAGTGCACAGGAAAAATGTGTTAGTTTGTCTCTGTATAATCTCTGTACACTTTGATTAATGAGTCTCATCAGTGAGGAAACAAACATGAGCCTTGCCTTCTCATTTTAAATTGATTGAACGAGGGTAATTTAATAAAAACTCGTGAAAATTCTTCAAATTTAGATTTATGGCCAAGACCACTATTCCATTTTAAAAATATCAATCTGTATTTTGACTAAAACATCACTAAATATGGAATCAGATTAGTTTTGTTTGTTTGTTTTTTTCATAATCTTGCTAACAAACGGGCAGACAGATGAAAAGCTCTATCATCTTAATGGATTAAATGTTGTATTCTTAAACTCTTAATGCTTTATATTAGGCAAATAAAACAGGTTACTATGCATACTGTACAATGTGCTGCATGCAGTACTCTTGTTTTTTTAATTTTATTTTTGTAATTGTTGATTTTGTATCAAAGAGTTTGTCTTGTTTTCATCCATCCATCATTATCTTTACCCGCTTCTTCCTTTCTGGGTCAATGGGTCACTGGTGCCCATATCCAGCAGTCACTATGTGAGAGGCGGGGGACACCTGGACAGGTCTCCAGTTCATAACAGGGACACATAGAGACAACCATTCACTCTCTCTCTCACACCTAGGGACAATTTAGAGTTACCCATCAACTTTTTTTTTTAATGCACAACTGAAGCTACTTTTTTTAAGCCCAGCCTGTCCTGATTATGCCCACTGGATCAGAACAAAACGGACTCAAACTGCAGTTCAGCTCCAGATGAACTGTAAGTCTAATTTATTGTGTCCACCATCCTTCCCTAAGATCCAACGTGGGCCAGTCTGAACCTGGGTGCTCTTATCTGCATCGAGTGCTCTGGGATCCACAGGAACTTGGGGACCCACCTGTCCCGCGTTCGCTCGTTGGCGCTGGATGACCTGCCGAGAGAGCTCACGCTGGTTCTCAGCACCATCGGCAACCACATGGTCAACAGTACATGGGAGGCACGCACGATGGGCCACCGCAAACCGGCTCCTGACGCAACCCGGTAAATTACTACCAGTCTGAACAAAAACACAATTAAAGGTGTTAAAGTACACTTGTGCGTATATGCTGATGTGTTTGGCTAATTCTGGTGGAAAAGCAACAAGAACTAGAGAAATTTCATTGCCTGTGAAAATGCAGTGTGAGTGCATATTGCTGAAGAATTTGCTAAAAAGAACCAGCTGAAATTAGCTTAAAAAACTATGCTGAATTATACAGTAGTTTAAATTAAAGAACAAGCCTAAATTAGCAGAAGAAAGCATAAAGAACAAATTTTTGCTGAATTAGGTATAAATAAGAAGAAATTAACACAGAACAAGCTGAAATTAGCAACAACAACAAAGAAGTAGCTGAAAAGGCAGAAAGAAGCTTAAACTACCAGAAGGAAGCAGAAAGAGCTGAAATGAGCTAAAAAAAAAATATGTGGAATTATCTGAAAAAGATCAATTTAGCATAAAACAGCTACACAGAAGCTGAAATAGTAGAAAAAGCTGAAAGGAGCATAAGCTGAAATGACCATAAATAAGGTAATTAGGTTGAAAGTTTAGCAAAAATTACCTTGAAAAACTTAAGTTTATATGAAAACAGCTGCAATTAGCTAAAAAATTATTTTAGGCTGAAATGATCCTAAATGAGCACAAAAAAGTGGAAATTATCTGAAAAAAGCAGAAATTAGCAACAACAAAAAAAAAAACAGCTGAAAAGTAGCTTAAAATCAGAAAGAAGCTTAAATTAGGAAGTGGAGAGAGCATGTTTTTTGCCGAGTTAAGCTAAAAAAGTTTAAATGAGTGCAAAAAATGTGGAATTAGCTGAAAAAGCTAAAATTAGCATAAATGGCTAAAAAAATAGCTGAAATAGCAGAAAAAGCTGAAACCCTGCAGAAATAAGCAGAAAGGAGCATAGCAAACTGAACTTAGCAGAAAGAATTTACAAAAATATTATAGTTGGCAGAAATAATCTGAGAGGAGCACAAAACAGCTTAAATTAGCTGGAAAAAAAGTTTAAATTTGCACAAGGAAGCTGAAAAAAGCTGAATCAGAACAAAATGTGAAAGGAGCAGTAAAAAGTTGTAAACAGATCTAAAGATCTGAAGGATGTATAATGAGCTCAGTTCATTTTCTATGAGAAAAAAAATGGCAGAAAAGGCTAAATATTTCAAAAAGCTAAAGTTGCACCAATACCAAAAGTCATAGCGGATTGTTCTTGAAACAGCTGAACGTTTTGATTTATGATTTGTTGAAATAGCTTAAAAACCGCGGGACGAGAATTGCACCAAAAAAACGTACAGAAGAAAAATGGATCACAGTAGTGTGGACGCTTCATAAGCGTTTATTAGAATCAGCAGGTGGATTTCATTGATGGATCATCCTTTTTTTTTCCTGTGTTTGCTCAGAGAAGAGCGTGAGTCGTGGATCCGAGCCAAGTACGAGCAGAAACGGTTTGTGGCGCCGTTGCCTCCTCCCACTCCCAGCGAGGGCCCAGACATCGCTCTGTCAGGCCGTCTTCTGTTGGCAGTGATGGAGCGCAACCTGCCCAAGCTGCTGCTCCTTCTGGCCCACTGCACCAAGGAGGACATCAACGCCCCTCCCGGCCTGTCGCTCCCCACCAGGTCGCTCCTGGCACTCCGGCTGCCTGGGTCCGCGCTGCACGCTGCCTGCCAGCAGGCTGATGTGGTGATGACTCAGCTTCTTGTTTGGGTGGGTTTCACTCCTCCACCTTTATTCTTTCTGTGGTATTCCCACTTTTTCCTTTAAAATATGGTTTTGTATTTAACCTGAGTCACATCACCAAAGAACATGCAAACGTTTTTAAAGATATATTATTGCAGCCTGGGTGTTTACAAAGTGGCATTTTAAAGTGATAGTTTGGATATTGTGAAGTGGAGTTCTGTGGAAAAGTTACTCTTTTTTAACAGCCTCAGTTTAGAGAAATAAAGATCCATTCTGACCTGATTGGTGAGGTGATGGCTAGTCTGAGTAAGGCCAAGAGCAAAGTGGATTGCTGCCATTAAAAATAACTACATCAGAATTCCTGAGCGGATCATACAATACTTTTTATAAGATTTTACGATGTTAGCATTTATGTATTATGCTGTTATTTCATAAACTATTTATATTTTAGCCCCAGTGTTCCAGTTTTGTTCATTTTTGGGACCAGAATCTGAGCACTCGGGTGTGGGGTTTTAAGTCCCGCCTACTTCTTCCAAACACAATCATAGTGTTGGAAAAAATTATGTTTGAACAAACAGCACCAGAGTCAACACCTGAATATAAAATTATTTGAAGTTATTGTTTTTTTAATTATACCAAGGTAAATGTTTTGTTCATGAATGGAGAAGGGGCGGAGCTTAAAACTTCTGGAATCAGCCTACGGGGCAGCTGGTCCCATTTTGGCTTCAACTTTAGAGTTCATCCATAAATCCAAATTTTAACAATTTTATGGATTATTTACAAATAGTGACAGCAGCTAGCTGTAGCACTTTCTGTTTAGCCTGAACTACATTCATCAGTAGTTTTAACAATACTTTTGCCAGAATAATAATAATAATGTCATCACAATGTCAGCACTGTATGTTTCCATACAATGGCGAAATTAGTCTCTGCATTTAACCCATCCACCACCAGGTGGTGCAGTGGGCAGCTATTGAAAGCGCCCGGGGGACATTTTGGGGATGAGACGTGCTGCCCAGAGACGCCACGTGATGTGCAGTGACTGGGGATCGAGCCTGGGACTTTCGGGTCCCAAGCCGGCTGCCCTGCCTCTACACCATCTCGGCCCCCAACAGAATAATCATGTAATGTTGAGATTTCTTTAAACAGCAGCAATACGTCTTGATCCTGGTCTTGCTCGGACTAGTCGTTAGCTTTTAATCTAGTCAGTTTTCAATTCTATTTCTTTAAACTGTGATTGTTCAAAAAGTTGTCCACGACATGTGAAATATTTAGCTAATTACAAGACACCTCAGTCCTGGACTGAGACGTGTTCTGGCTGCCTCAGTCCATTCAGATAATACACCAAGGCAGTGAAGGGAGGTCGGAGATGCTCTACCTCTGATGCGTCTCTGTGCCACCGAGCGAGATAATAGCAGGGCCAAGCTTGCTGACATGAGAATAAAAAAATAAAATAAAATGCAGAGCTACGGCTCAGTAAAGTGATGAACGGAGGACATTAGTTGTGACAACTCGCTCATGGGATTAAACAATAACTAATAATAAGTTATTGTCATTAAGTAAGTTTTTTTCATGGTTTAAAATCCAGCTTTATTTAAAAATGAACCCACTGGTGGGCCGAACCGAGTTAACCTGTGGCCCTGACTTGGCCCCTGGACTGCCGGTTGAATAACCCTGGGCTCGAAGAAGAAGCTTAAAACAGACTGGTCTGTGCAGTCAGTTCGTGGGTTTTCTGAAGACGCTAATGAATTCCTCCTAACATCCACTCCACATCAAACAGTCTGACCTATCGTTTTAAAAACTCACTTTTTAGAAGGTAAGGTACTAAAGTAATTCAGATGGTCAGTCAAGATAATCTGTATTTTGTTGAGGTAATGTAAGCTAGTCCTGTCTTAGTTCAAATTTATCTTTCTGAAATGATGGAGCAGTTTGATCGGTTTGATTAATTTGTCGATTGCTCGGTTTAGCTCGATTTGTTCTGTCTCCAGTACGGCTGTGACGTCCGGCATCGGGACCCTCAGGGGCAGACTGCGCTGACTCTGGCTCAAAGCGCAGGAAGCCAGGAGTGCGTCGACATCCTGCTGCAGCACGGTTGCCCTAATGAACTGGCCTCTGCCCACTTGACAGCTGGTTTGTCATCATCCGCCGCAATGACAACCAGCTTCCCTGTCACCATGACGTCCAGCTTGACGGTTGCCACGACGCTCAAGTACCCACAGAAGAGCGGCAGCGCCAACCTGAGTTACAGCACCTCCAGACGAGCTGTGTCGTAAACGCAGCGCTGTGCGGTGTGACGTGTGTAGGAGCTTGTCGCTTTGCCCTCATAGTGTGTCCCGTCCATCCACGCAGACCAGCAGGAGCGATGAACACGTGGACGGATGCTGCATTAAGAGGAGGTCCAAGAGATATGTGTGTGTTTCAGGGCTGTAAACGAAATAATGTCACCAAAAACAAACGTTTTCATGACCTGTGCGCCCAGACTCAACAGGAATGTACCGAACCATTTACCAGACTCGTTTCCCTTCATACAGTCAAACAGAAGTCCGCCCGCAGCCTCAAACTGCTTTTTCTTAGCCGCCAAAGCCCAGAAGTAAAGAACTGCAATAAGTTTACGACTCGATAGCGGGACGTACTCTATTCTCAACACAACACACTGCAGCAGATATTAATTTTGACGGTGAATGTGAGTTTTAAATTCATCAAAGCTAATCATGACGTGCATTAATTACGTGTAAGTCGATGTGAAAAACGTGAGGGGGGTGGTGATTTAAAGCTAAAACTACTGTATAGAAAAACCGATAAAACTATAAAATTATAAACAATTTTTAAGTGTTTAATTTCCAGTTTGTTATTGTACGATTTGTACAGTTGGTTCTGTGAAGAAGAAAAAAAAAGAAGAAAAAACTTGTTATTATTGCTGTTAAGAGATTTCCTGTACAGAGTTTTGGTTCAGTTTGTTAGCGGTGTGTCTGACATAAACTGTACAGGATGTGAGCGTCATGACGCCAGCAGTAGCTCATTATCAAAGAGAGTGTAATAACAGACGTGTGACTGAATGTAAACAAATACTTTAAATACTAATATGTTTTCCAGAGGATAAAGTTTTCAGCCGACATTACTCCTGATGCGACTAACAGATTAAAAGATTATCTTTTGACCGATGAGAGTGTCTCATATAAAAAACAAACATGGCCTCCTAATGATTCTGTGATTTTTTTTTTAACTGGATGAAAGTAGACATGAAACAGAAGAATGTTTTCCTAATTTATAATTTTAAAAAGGGCACATTGTCAAGATTCATGTACTGTAAGTACTTTTACTTTGACCTGAAGCTGTTTGTTTCTGTGATGTATACATCTCACACCATTTGCTTTGTTTTTCTTTTTAACTTATTCAATAAATCCTAGAGCATTTATTACCATGATACTAGGCTTTTTGGTCATGCTTTGCTCTCTTTTGAGTTCATTGTGTTGGTTCAGATTTTCTTGATTCTATTGCAGTTTCTTCACGCAGGAAACTACTCAACTTGTTTCAAAGTGAGTAGTCACACAAAACATCCACACTAGACAAGCCATTGAGACATTAAAATAATAATTTATGTGAAATCATTATCCGTTGAGAAGTCTGATGGCTACAGGGATGAATGAGTTTTTCAGTCTGTTCGTTCTACATCTGGGCAGCAGATACCTGCGTCCAGATGGAAGTAACCTGAACTCACCATGGAGTGGGTGATCAGGATCTGCCAGAATCTGCCTGGCCTTGTTCACTGACCTTGTCTTGTGTAGGACTTGGACTTTTCCTTGGAGTTTCAGTCCTCCAGTGTTCAGCTCTCCTCATTTTACACTCAACCAGCATTTGAACATGTGGTTCTCTGGATCATACTGGTTTGTAATTAACGGCCTCTGTGGACCCACAAACAAATGGGTCGGAGTCTCAAACCTATTTATAAACTGCAGCTATCACTGTGTCTTTGATGTTCTCTGAATTTTAACAATTACAGAGAATTAAATGTATTTTTGTCACATAAAAGTAAAAAAAAATGTTTAAAAAAAATCAATAAACACTTAACGTTAGCACACAAAATGAAAGCAGCATTCATCACCAATCATCTTGTAACTCACAGCTATAAACAAAGTGCTTGTGCCGTCTGTTACCATTTAGACAAAGTGTTGGGAGTGACTCTCAGCTACTACCTTGCCACATTTTGGCTCAGTGTCTGTAAAAATGATTGTAATGATGATAACCATTTTTGTGAGACTATTGCCAATTACTGCAGCTGCAGTGGCTGTCTTGAATTAGATTGACTCAACAAGCTAATTAGCTATAGACGAGCATTATTTTCGGAAAGTTTAAAACAAAATCCATCCAGTGCTTCATGAGCTATTTTGCTAACAGACAAACATGGTTGACTCCAATAGGTAGTGTTTTAAGTAAAGACCTTGCGGAAAATGTTTAACTCAGCGTATGTGATTGGTATCATGATTACTAAAGTTTTTAACCCCCATAGTAGTGCAGACTGACAGAGAGCGACTCAACACAATCAAAGTAAAAGTGAATTTATTTACAGTGTTCTGGGGACTCAGGTATGATCTGGAAAGGAACAGGTGACAGGTAAGTATGTTGGTTGTAGAAGTAATCTTGAGTGTAATGGCCAAAGTAGATTTCTTGTTTCTTTCTGTTTGCTTGGCAGGTTTGGAGAGGAGGGCGAAGAATTCCAGGTGGGCGACAGGATATGGGTAAAAGAGAAATGTGAATGGACCAAGATATCAAAGTATTTGTAGGAATCAACAAACAATAGAAACGCCGTTCAAAGATAAAATTGTGGGAAGGACTGCTGGGACCAACTTCCTCTTTGAAAACAACATCCCTGCATTTAGTACAAGTTTGAGACGGAACAAATCTGACTGGATGATGTCAAAAGCAGATAGCAAAAGCTGGAAAACCTCAGCAACTGTTTTATCTTGACAATAAACAACTGTACTATCAGCACAAAAATGTAAGCATGCATCAGGGATGATCCGACCTACATTACAGATTGTAAATAGGGTGCGTCCTAAGACTGAGCCTTGTGGTACACCATTGTTAACTGTTAAATAACTGGAAGAAGTACCATTATGTTGAACACATTGTCTACAAAAGGGAGAAACCCTGAGGAGAGCTGGACAGAAGACACAAAAATCACACAGATTCTCTCACATGAGGCCTGTGGTTCCCACCTCTGGTTCTCTCTCCTGGTCCTGGAGTCCTTCTTGCCTCTCCCTCAGCGTTTAACAGATATTCAAAATAAGAGCTTACCCTTCTGTCCAACATCAATCTATTATTGGAGACTTGTCCGATTTTCATTCTTTGATGACCTGTTGCTCCTTTTATCGCTTGTAAATAAAAGTACTTAACTTTTCGTCTTTGTGTCCTTGAGTCTTTTTGGTCCTTGGAAAACCTGTCTCTGGGTCAAAACATTTTATTTTTGCCTATAATCGGCACATTTCCAAAGAAGAAGGTCTCGTGGTGATTTCATGAGTCCGTTCAACATGCTTCCTAAATCTCCAGTTGGTGTTCAGCTGAGATGACATCTGGTGACAGAATTCATCCAAGACTGTCACAACTCGTCAAACTGGTTTGCGCTTCTCGCTGATTTATATTCAGGGTGGGTCAACTTTGTAGTTTCCAGGAGGATAAAAGTGTCTTCTGACAGAAATACGGTTCGTGACTTCTGGAAATCATGGGTCAAAATTAATTTGCTTAACAGGCGAAAATAATTCACCTGAAAATGAACAAAAAAGCAGAAGGAAAAACTTCTGTCTTAAGAACCCTTATCAAGACCATCAAAAAAGATCAACAGGTTTGGCTCCCTTGGAAAAGATGTAAATTGCATTTTCTGTAAAAATTACAATGTGAATGTTGAAATTTGATAAAAAATGCTGAAACTGAGCTGTTAAAGGCTAATAGCAGCAGAACACAACCTAAAGGACAAAAGTAGCAGTACCTGCTAAGTACCTTAAAGAATAAAAGTAACAAGAGACAAAGCTCGAGTAAATGCTGAAGCAGATTTTAAAGAGAACAATGGGTTTAAAATAAATTGAAGATATAATTTCATGCATTAACCTACACAACAACTAGTTCATAGCGTTAGGAAGTGTGAAGGATTAATTCATTAATCTGTCAATCCCAGTATATAAAAAAAACACTTGTTGGATTAAATGGCGGTTCTAAACTGACCATGATAATAAACGTCTCTTTGTCTAATTTTTTTTGTTTAATTGTTTTTACTGTATATAGTAAAGTAGCTTCAGTAATAAGTGTCAGGAGTGCTGGGACAAGAGACTAAGAACAGAAATGAATGCTTCCCCGTTAGGATGAAATGTCACAGTTAGACCCACAAATCATTTTATTGTTTAAATGCAGTGACCTGTTAGAGTTACACTCTGTTAAATTTATGATTCTTGATATAAATCAACATCATGTGGCCGGCCACACAGTAAACAGCACTATAAATCCAAGCTGACGTAAAAGCCTTTTGATCAATATCAAGACATTATGCTTCAGGTTAGCCTTTCCCCTCTGCAACTTGCACTTATTGCACAGCTGCAAAACTAAATGTCCACAGCAATAAAACCGTTTCTGAGCTATCGGAAACAATGTTTTCTTGATACATCCATAAAACCAGTACATAATGCCTTCTGGTCTGACCAAACATTTGTTTCAAAGAAAAAATACTATTTTTTGGCCTCATCTGCATTGTCAAATATTAATTTTGTTGTTAACATTCTTCTAGATAATTAATAATCAGCTAAATGCTGATTAAACCAAGGGGATGTTGTTTTCAAACAGGAAGTCGATATCAGCAATCCTTCCTTCTATCTCATCCATCATGGTGTGCCTATTGAGTTTGTAGATTCCTACAAATACTTGGGAATTTTAATTGATGCACATCTTTCTTTTGAGCCGCATGTCAAAAACTTGATGAAGGAACTGAAATTAAAACTGGGTTTCTATTTCAGAAATAGATCTTGCTTAACTCTGAATGCCAGGAAATGCCTTGTAGCTGCAACTTTCCTACCAGTCATCGATTATGGTGAATTTATTTACACGAATGCCCCTGCCAGCTGCTTGCAGATATTGGATGCTGTCTACCATGGGGCACTAAGGTTCATAACTGGCTGTAACACCATACCCATCACTGCGCTCTGTACTCATTGGTCAGTTAGTCATCATTATCTACACATACGCTCTCACACTGGTTCATCTTCATCTCTTGGTCTGCTGCCTTCATATGTCTCCTCCCACGTCACATTGTCATTGCAGTTACAGCGTGCGCTCTTTGGCCTTCATTACCTGCAGCGTTCCCTCAGTGTGGACTGAACTTGGCAAAAAGGCCTTTTCTTAATCTGCTCCTGACTCTGCTTTCTGACCATGGTACAGATCCTGTTTCAGATTATCATGATTACACCTCATGGATCACGACTTGGCTCTGGTTTCTCCTGTCTGCCTTCCTGTTCATGACCCCTGCTTCGACAACCGGACCCAGTTTTTGAATTTGCCCCCCACGGACAGCATCAGTTGTGCTCTGCAGCTGCTCCGCCGGTGACATCATTCCTGCCACGCTGACAGGTGACTCTCTCCCTCCAGCCTGTGAGGACCTGGTAACTCAGCTGATCCTGACTCCTACGTCCAGCATCAAAAATAATAATTTAAAATAAAATTTAAAAAACTGTTCTTCTGTACTCCTGTGTCTGGTTTATTTGAATCCAACACCCGGTTGTGACATTAATATTAAGTATGACACCGCTAATTTGTAGATTTTCACCTACAGCGGGGCTCTCTGTAACGTAACCCCTGCAATGGGTGTAACAGCAGAATTGTATGAATACTGTAAAGGACTGTGTACTGTAAAGCTAATTTATAAAGTAAACTTCATAAACTGTAATGACATTTTTGGGATTTGAGTTACTTTAAGATGACAGCAGTTCACTTTGATCTTGACTTTGTTAAAACGGAAGGAAAAAACTGATCTTTTCCAAAAATAATACTAATTAAAACACAATTCACAGAGGATCCATATGATACAGAGGCTTTTCAGAAAGAAATGACATTAAACCCAATTTTACACATGCACAATATCACTTTGTCTTAAAAATTCAAACTGTTAAGTTTTTTTTTCTGTCATTTTGATTATGTTATCATCAAACTTTGATCATGCACTGAAAAGAGCTAATAACAAACAGGAAATTGCAAATATTTAACAAAAAAAAAAGGTTTTATTAAAATGTCAGAACATAGAAACAGTATAAATGTTGAACGTTTGTTCAGAAAACATATCTGGTGTAGTGCAGATCTAGATTATAATCTTTCTCCAAACTTTTGTTGTTCAAAGAGCTATCTACAGCAGGTACAGTATTAATTGCTTGTAATGGATTTTCAGAACCCCCTTTCAAAAGATTTGAGCTATCCCTTTAAGCTGCTAATCTTTAGTGCTCCTTGGAGTTGATTCGACTCAGACTGCTGTAGTTAAACTTAAATGCAGATAAATCTTTGAATCAGGCGAAGACCTTTGCGATGAACTCTTTGAAACGTTTAGCGTACTGCTCAGGATGAACTGTTGTGATTTCTGCTCCAGCCTACAAAACAGAAACACAAACAATTAAAAGTAGGTGAACCAGAACGCAAAAGCAGGAGAATGGAGCTGTGAGGAGTTCCTTCTCTAACCATTTACTTAAAGATTAATGTCCCTCACCCCGTTTTTGACAGCCTTGGCAGCGTGAGCAGCTCTCTTCTTGGTATCATACTGTGTCAGCACGTCAATCAGACCCATGAAATACACCTCCCTCCGGGGAGCAGCTAGGATGTGATGCACAGCTCTATATGAGATGACATTTCTTTAAACCTCTGAGGAGAACCGTGCTGGCAGCACTCACCTACAGCACTCTGAGCAGCATACACGTCCACGTAAGGATCGAATTCTCCAGGACCCATGGGTTTGAAGGACTTCATGTAGCCTGCGATACCCTCAGGTGGGGTAGATGGAGCAGCAGCCAGGTCATTTTCACCCCCCTCCTCCTCTTCATGGGATGACTCCTCATCCTCATCCTCCTCCCTCTCAGCTCGCTCAACGTCGTGGATACCCAGCAGCAAGCTGTAGTCCGTGATCCTCATTTGCACAAGGAACTGCAGCAACACACATGTAAACACCAGAAAACCAGGTGTCCAAACACCAGAAGCAACACTCGGCCTCACCTCGAGGTCCATGCTGAGCTTCTCCATCATCTTCTCTTTCTCCTCATCGCTCACATAAATCTTCTGCATGTTATTCATGAAGTCTGCATCCTTGTAAGTTGGTAACTCTTTGACCTGAAAGCACAGAGGGAAGATGAGCTATACTTTTTAGCCAATAGATAAAAAAGCTTCCTTGTTTAAACACTTATCAATCCTATCTTCAATTAGTGAAAAATAAAAGCAGTTTGCCTTGAATTTTATTTTCCAAATCAACATAGATGGAAAAAAAAACAAATATTCTTTAAAGAATAAATGAGATAATTTGGGATGACTCTAAATGCCAAATAGGCTCCAAAAGCTGCAGATGCATGTTTAAATAATGACTTTCTGGAAATTTCATTCAAATCTGTCCTTTGGTTCTTGAGACATAAGTGCTATCAGATTGCACATCTTTGTTACAAAAAAAATTGCACACAGGGCTGCAGATGATATGCATTCTAGTTTTTATTTTATGAGTAAAAGGACTAGCCCTTTACTTGTCACAATGGGCTGATGTTAGTGAACCCAATGGTGCAGGTAGGCAGGCAAGTACTCAAGTATACATCCTGAGTCCTTGCCTGCCTGCACCATTGGGTTCAAAAACACCAGCCTATTGTATTTTATATATTATATAAAATAAATAAAAAATCATTAACAAAACAAAGAGTTGACAGGGCAGCAAAACAAACATAGAAGGATGTGCTCACGAAAAAGATATGCTATCACCAGTGAACAGAAGACAATGCCAGGACAAGGACTAACACAGAGACACAGACTTCTATACAAGAAACACCAATTAGACAAAGTGGAGGCACCTGTGAGTAATCACAGTTGCCAAAGAAAGAGACAAGGGATGCAAGACATAAACACGACACAAGATGGGGTTAAATACTAAAGAAACACAAACCCTGTAAAGCTAGAAATAGAGGATCAGAGGAATGCAGACATAAACACAACACCAGAAAACCACAACTCCTACATTACTATCGTCCAAGCTCTGTTTATTTATTTAGTTTTTAATTTGCTGTAACCAAGATCACATTATAAGTTCTGACTGCAGTACTTTAGTAAACACACAGCTCACCTTTTCTTTAAAACTGGCTTCACGGGACAGCAGGGAACCCTGAGGAGGAAAACTAAAGCAGTCACTGTTACTGATAAGATCAATAAATTGTGTGAAAACATTCACTTAAACAGAAACATTTGGCAAATGTTCCTCTGGACTTTTAGTTTCCTGTAAAGAATCCCTGTGCACAGCATTTCAATCTGACAAGAATGTTGTAATTTATTACGGTCAGCATAATAAAATAACTGAAATCTCCTTTAGATAAACATATCCGGCAGGGATTACCTTCAGGTCGTACTTCCTGTGTATGGGCAACCTGTGGCTGAACATGTTCCTCATCACTAACAGGTAGGTGTCCTCGTTCTCCACTGTCACTCTGTACATGGAGAGGAACTGGGGGAGCAGCGTGCTGCTGTGGCAGGTGACTATATGCTGGAAGAGGACAAAAAGAAAACTTCACAACACAGTCACAATCTGCCCACACAACACTTGTCTCAATGCACTCCACCCTGTCTGCTCTCGTTTTCACCTCTCTTGTGCACCATGGTTCACCCCAACAACTCCATCATTCATACATATATTCTTCTGATGTTTAATCTTCTCTCCAGACCATCCACTCACCTCTCCAGACTCTCTTCCACCTGCTTCCTTCTCTACTCAGTGTCATCTGCATTCATACGCATCTGCTCACAACAGACTCATGTTCAGGCTGCTGTTTAATATGCCATATTATATTATATTATTGTTTTAGCATATATCTTAGATCCTCATATACTGGTTCTTTTTTATAGTTTGTTTTATTGCTATTTTTGACTGTAAATGGGACTCTGTGTACCACATGTAATGTGAATGACAATAAAGTCACCTTGAACCCCCACCATCACAGACATCTACACCTCTAGATGCAGGAAGAGGGCCACCTGCATCATGAAGGACCCCACACACCCAGCACATACACTTTTTGCCCCGCTTCCCTCAAGAAGGAGGTTAAGGAGCGCTAAATGTAGAACCACTAGACTGAGGAACAGCTTCTACCCTGAGGTTGTTAGACTCATGAATCTCTAACCAGGATAATCACTGAAAAATCACATTATGCTGCTGTATTTATTCATGCTCATCTGCTCACATAGACTCATGTTCGTGCTGCTGTTCAGCGTATTGTGTTTATTGTTTGTGTGCTATTAGTGCTTCACATATTTTTAGGTGACGTTTTTCTTAATTCATAGCTTAGATCTTATTACTGTTTTTCTTTTACATTTTATTGTTGGATGTAACTGGGACCCTGCGTACACAATTTCGTTCCACCACATGTACCACATGTAGTGTGTATGACAAATAAAGTAACTCTGACTCTGACTCTCTGACTGACCTCATTTGTTAAGAAATGTCTCTAAAATACAAAACTTATAATTTCATGATTGAAGCTTCTTTTATTAGTTTATTGTCTAGGTCATTCTCCTGAGCTACAAACTAGTTGGAGATGAAATATTTTTGAAAATACACTTGGCTTCACACTGACTGTACTTGCACAAACCCCTGCCAAAATGTGGCCCAAAATCCGTTTGCAGTTTGTGTACATATCAAAAATCAGTTACAAAAATTAATGTGAAAAGCGTTAGAGCTGAGTTTCAGATGTCCGTAATGACTATTTTATATGGAAGAATTGTTTGGTGAAATTGTCCAATATGTTCAAATGTCCAGAGACACCAGAGTGAGAGGAGGCCCCGTGTCTCATGATAGAAATTTGAGAACTCTCTTGAACCAACAAAGTTAAGTCAAGTCCTCTGAACTGTTTCTTTTATTTTGTTGAAACGAATCATCAACAATCCAACTTTGTTGGATTTTTTACCTGGATTATTGAGCATGAACTTTGATGTTTTGACTCACTTTGGCCATGGTTGCCTCAGAGGATCTGACGGGGGAGAGGGTGGACTCCAGAAACCATCTTATCACCATCAAACTGGTTGGCCCACTATATTTTTCCTTCATTTATACAAGTTAGTCTCATTGAGCCACGGGGACTCATTTACAAGAGAGACCTGATTTAAACAAAGAATGACGATAACAGAAGACAATCATAAAAGAAAGCATATAAATTGAAAAGAAAAAATGAAAGAAAATGTTATTAAAAAAATTAAACAAAAACAGCTAGATTGTAAAGCGAAGTAGAATACTAAAAACAGGATTTGCATTGGTTTTTGCCATGGACTTAGCAGATATTTGTAATGTAATGTAATATAATGAAATATAATGTAATGTAATATAATGTAATGTAATATAACGTCATATAATGTGATGTAATATAATGTGATGTACAAATGTAATGAGTGTGCTGCTTGTGAGACTGAGTTTGTTGTGGCTCCTCAGACTGATGAAGTCCTTTGGATGAAGGATGAAACGTTTCAACAAAAAAGAAACCATCCAGAGGACCAGACTTAACTTTGTTAACTTTGTTACCTGGATTATTGAGCATGAACTTGATTAAACTTTTTTGAACATTTCGAAACATTTTGGAAACTGCCTCAGGAATGTCGTTCTCAAACAGTTGCCAACAGTTGCAGCCCGGTAAGACACAGGCTTCAGATGGTAAAACTGCACTTTTAGTTCGTTTTAACGTCTGTGTTCTAAAATCAACTTTGCAGATACAGAAAACTGCACAAGAGTTACTTAATGGTATAACTGATCATTCTTAATCGCATCATGTTCTATTGCCCTGTTTCTGAAGGTAGAAATCTTTATGTTTCAGCATCATTCAGACTTGATGTGCAGAGTGTGGACTGACTTATTGCAACTGTAACTGAGAACACAAATAGCTCATAAACAAGACAAAGCAAAACAATGATAGTAATATTTTTTTTTTTAAAAAGGAGAATGAGTATATACTGTAATTCAAAACATTTTTCTTCTCCAGGAGTTTCCCACCTCCTGTCATATAATAAAATGTGAAAAATCCTACCTGGTGATACTCAGAGAGGATGTTGTGCATTCCCTCCACCTCCTCACTGGAAATTTCTTTCACCACCAAAGTGCGGTCGTGTGACGTCAGCAGCAGTCCAACGCACTTCCCCTCTTCATCTTTGAGAGGAGGACTGTGGGCCAGAGACACCTTATGGGGGGTGGGGGGTGGGGGGGGGGGGGGGTGGGGGTAACATGATTAATATGTAGCCTCCCCTGGACAATCAAACCTTTATAATTAAAACATTTAACCACAATATTCCAAACAAAAAGAAGATATTTAGAGCAGCTGTGCCACATGTGGATTTAAACGGTGTGTTAAAACCATCCTTGAATAATGCTGCAGGTTTCCCATATTATTACATTAAGCAAATGAGCATGCAGTGATGGGTGCACCACCTGGCACATGCAAATACCACACAAAGACATGCAAATGTGAGCAGGATCAATAAAGAGTTCCACCAAAAGGGGAAGGCTGAAAGCTTCCTATGTTTCTATGTGTATTTTTTTTAATCTTATGTTTATGTGTTCCATTAAAGAATAACAGTTTCTCTCCTTTTCGCTACAATCATGGGTGTGTCTTGTGATGAATGTTCTACTTGGTAGTCTTGATCCTCGATGCCAAAGCGCTCTCGCAGGTTTCTGAACACCTGTGGACAGTACTCTTTGAATTTGAACTGAGCAGGAAGATTCTCCCTGAAACAGAAGAACAAAGGCGTCATTGTGAAGTTTATGAATTTCAGGGTTCATGCTGTTTCATTTTTTTTTTCTATTTAACATGGCATTAGCATCACTTTAGATGCACAGTGAAGTCAGATAGACTTTCACCTGGAGAAAACCTGCTTTATTCCTTTTCCCACCTCTGTTCATGAAGTCTTTAAAGAATTCCTGAATGGATTAAAGGATTACTGAAAGCCACTCAGTTTTACTCAGAATGGGAACTGTGTAAAGCCTCGAATACAGAACAAAATGTCAGAAATGGATTTGTCTGTATTTTTGCATTATGCTACACAGAAATAACTCACAGATGGGGAGAAACAGGCTTCAGATCTTTAGTGCTCAGCATCCTTCTACGTTATCTTATAATTTGACACGAGCACCACTTTGTTGAAGTGTTAAAGGTGTACTTAGAGGAGAAAAGCAGTGTTGTTCTCTAAAGGGGTCTGCTGTTTCTGATAAGCACAGGAGAATAAATCAGAAGGAGGGTCAGAGAAATCTGTGCAGTCCACAGGAAGTGGGGGCGGATGCTGCAGAGCAGAGCTCTTTACTTGTTGAAGAAGTGGTTGATGACTTTGATCTTGGTGCTGGCTTTGAAGTCGTCTGGAAGCAGCATGACAGGTACAGGCACCTGGCTCAGGTCATTCATCTGCGCATGAGCAAGGAGGAAAAAGAGAGCGAGAACAGTTCAGGTCCACATAAACATGTTTCAAGCATGAAGCAGCCAGCTTATCTTTTATACCGAGTGATTGACCCCCCACATCAGGACGCTCAGCACCGGGTCACTGGCTCGAAAAACCTCCACCTTCTGCTGCACGAAGTGTTTCTTCTTGGTCTTCCTCTTGGGCTTCAGAGTGAAGATGGAGGAGGAGGCGTAGGGAGAAGACATGGCTCTTCCTCGGGCGTTTCAGTCTGGGAGCAGGTTGTTGCTGCCTGTGAAGTGCTCCTGTGTATGTAAAGCAGGATGAAGCCCGCCTTCAGTTCAGCCAACACACACACACACACACACACACACACCACAAAAACAGATCTAACTGCTGCTGGTTGTAAAAGGTAATAAAACCAGAGATATGTGTAATAATTGGAACAATGTTGATCTTAAACTTTATTGTGACCACAGAGATAATAACAGTTTATTCATGTAGTTTGACAGCCACAAATAAAAATACTGCTATTTTTCTTTTCTGTTAAAGGACAAAAGTTAGTATATTTCTGATTCATAAATACTTAAAAAGTACTGAATGATAGACCCGTATATTTGT